CACTCTAAGCCAAGTCTGTTGCACTCACAGAACGACGAGCGCGACCCCAAACAGAAACAGAAACAAAAACAGCAACAGAAGCAACAAGAACGACATGGGGCGAAAGGCTTTCTCCAGGACATCGAAGTTTTAAATACCTTACATCCAAATATATAACAGACTTGAACGGAAATCTCTAGAGATTTCAGAATTCCTCTATGAATGAGCATGAAAATACTCTGCAGAATGGTGTCTTCAAAATTTATTGCATACTTTTCAGCACTTTTTAATGATTTAGTTCCTAGGATATCTAAGTTTGAATCTCTATAGATTTGAAATCTAGTTATTTTGAAGAGAAAAGCTTTCCCCATTTCAAATATATAGACATGGAAAAATCTGTAAAAAGTTAAAATTTCTCTCTAAATATACGCAATAAAATGTAATACATTTTTGTAGGACATTACAGTTTCTAATATACTAAATTTAAATATATATGTATTTAAGGGTTCCAGAATATATTTTCTTAGTTTATTACATACTCTAAAGTACATTTTTAAAATTATATATCCTTTATCGAGCGATTTCTAGCGATTGGCTTCAAAACAAAGGTCGGCTTTGCCCCATCCTCTTCTATTACATATTTTGTTGGTTTTTAAATAATTTTAGATCCTGAGTATTTATGCATATAACTAATGCCCATATGCTAAATGCTAAACCTTTTATTATCCGATATCCTGATTTTATGCGGATGGACACTTGTAAATTACAGCAACAACAACAACAACAACGAGTCTAATGGACACTTTTGCCTCACATTTTCGTTGTTGTTTTTATTTTTGCGTGTGCCGTTCACCACCCCCTTTTCCGCCCCCTTTTTTGATTTTTCTGTCCTTCGACAGCAACAACACAAACAACAAACAAAACAGAACAAGAAAACGCAAAAGAAAGCGGCAATTCTTTTTGTTTTTGTTTTCGGCCTTTTTGTTTTGCTCGTTTTGTTCGTTGCGTTTTTTTTAACTCTTTCTCGAATTCGCTCTTCAACTCTCTTCTATTTCTCTTGAGATGCATTTGCACTGCAGGCGAAAGAGAGAAAGCGCGAATTCTGATTGGAGATGTTGTTAAAGTTCTCCTTTAGCAACATGTTTCAGAAATCAAATGTTGCTAGTTGTTTTGTTTCCCAGGACGAATTAGAAAGACATCCAAGTCAAGAAAAGTTTTCGAGAAAAAGGAAGAAGAATGAAGGTGCTAATTACAGAACAATACTGAGATTTATTTCCTCCACAGGAAGTGCTGTCAAAGTTTTAAATAATTTGCAACACAAACAAATCCTTGCTGTTTACATTATCTTACCTAGTTGACTTTTCATATTCTTTACTACGTCTAAAGTAAGAAATTGAAATGAAAAATATTATTCCATATTTACTAAATTTTAAACAATATGAATTCTCTAGTTTTCTTCTTAAAAATTCTTGCACAAGATAGTAAGTTAAATAAACGGTTGCAACTTTTTTTTAAGAAGATTTTTCAGTAATAACTGTTTATGTATTTCTCTTTGCTTTGATTTCAGGCAAACAGAAAAAAATTGATAAGAATTTAAACTCAGTGCAAAAGCGAAATACGACGTTTCGAATTTCGACTAAGTCTTTCTCCGTCTAACTCATCGTACTTTTAATCGACATCTTTTCTCTTCTTTGGATTTCAAAAGAACTTTCGAAAAAAGAGAAATTGAAAAATTACCGTTACCGTCCAATATCAATTTAACATTTTGCAATCGTACAATGATACGTATTTCTACATATAAATAAATAACTGAGCTTGTCAAATTGATCCTCCTTTTGGTGTATATTTGTGTATTATATTTTCCATTCTTTAAGAAAGAATGAAAATACGGTGTTCGGAGAAAGGTGGCTTGAATCCAGCTGTCAGAAGAAATACATAGGGAAATTCAAACGGAGGAATGCGGAAAAAGGAGCGCGAGAACTTGTGTGATTAAGCAACGCGTGGATGTTTATTGGTACACTTAAAAATCGGAACTAACCTAAGCTAACTAAGCTAAGGCGCTCCAGAGCGGAGTGGAGACTTGGGGGGAGAGTTGGAGCGGGAGAGCAAAGGGAGACCCCTGGAGAAACTTCCTAATTGGCGTAAAGACATTCAAATAAGGATTCGAATAAGATTCCAAACCAACTTTAGGTAGATAAAGTCTCCCGATTTTAGCTATCTTTTAATTAAAGCTATTCGATATAGTTGTCCGATCGTACAAATTATATCCAAATTACATTACGACTGTTTATAACGAAAGTTCTTCGTTCTTTTGCCAGTTACATAATTTTTACTCACAAATAATAGAAATAAACTACCATGAAATATTGTTCACCCACCCTCTAGAATGTAAAGCAAAAATAAACCCCTAGAAAACTTCGCCATGTTTTGAAGTCAGCAGTCGGCCATTAAAATCGGAATACGATAATTGTTGATGGAAACGGAACGGAAATGATACCTCCTAACCTAAAAATAAACTATTTATAATATATAATAATGTACGTTAAGCATAAAAGTGAACAACTACAATTACTATAGTAATATTGTAAAAAACTTATATGTTTTTCATGGTAACTATCTTAACTAAATAAGCCATCAAATTTTAAGTTCAAACTTTATATTCTCTTAAGAATTTTAAAACAAGTAACTGAAATACACATTTTCTATACTTTTGATTTAGGTATTATTTCATTTTTTTTATGAAAGCCATCTTAGCCAACTTAGTTAAATATGGAACTTTAATGATTCCATTTTAATATCTTATTTGTATTTAAATTCATTAAGCTTGTCTTATCAAATATAGTTTCCCTTCATTTCATTTTAATTTTCTTAAAAGCTGACAAATGATAAGATTAAAATAGATATGCCTTTGTAATTAATGATTTTATATTTTTAACTGCAGAACTTAGATTGTTTCACTTTTTATTTTAAATAATGTCATTTTGAAATTTTGTTAAATTTGCTTAAACATTTTTTAAAAGTTTAGTTTAGTTTAGTTTTAATTTTTTTATCAATTGATTAATGTACAATAGCTAATATTTTGCAAGCGAAACATTCTTTTTTATTTAAATTATATTTGCACTTTCCTTACAAAACTATTTTCTATCAGTTGCTAAATGTAAATAAGCGTATATTTCTTTGAAGCCAAACTTTGAAACTTTCTTCTATTTGAAGTGCGAAAACCTTGAGAAAGTCTTTTTCCTTTTCCCCTTCTCCCCTTCTCCCCTCCCCCTTCTTTATCCTTTCCCCTTGCTATCCCACTCGTTCGCAGATCAGCTGTAGCTGTAAAAACTTGGCCATAAACAAACATAAAAATAAAAGAATAAAAACAGCTGCAACTCAAGAGCGAATAAAGGTCGCCACCCGCACCCCTCTTTCATTGCCCCGCTACCCCACTCTCTTTGCCCCTCTCTGCCACCCACACACAAAGCAGCGCAGTTGCAGCGGAAAAGGCAGAGAGGCAGGTTGCTCCCTCTCTTTCTTGCTTGTGGGCTGGACTTACAAACGTTGTTTTTGTTTTGCCCAGCCTAAAAGCGGAGATCGCACGTGTGTGTGTGTGTTTGTAATGCATATGGCTGCCTTGTTGTTGCCCTTTTTGCAGTTGTTGTTGCTGCTGTTTGTTTTTATCTCACACTCTCGCACACACATACACACATGCGGCCTATGCAATCGAGCGAATACGAATGATAAATAGCAAGTGTGTGTGTGCGAGCGAGAGGTTGTTGTTTTTTCTTCTGCCTTTTGCCTTGTGGTTTTTGTTGTTTTTTATTGTTGCTCTTTTCGGTTTCTTGTGCGTCCATTGGGCATTGCATTCTATATGTGTGTGTGGGTGAGAGTGCAAGCTTGTAAGTGTGTGTGTGTGTGTGTGTGTTTGGACAGCCTCTCTTTTTAAAAACGCATAAATGTTGATTACACCAAATTGACATTTTGTTGTTTTTGCTGTTCAACTATTTGGGGGTTCTCCATTTCCAATTGGAATTTCTCTCTTGTTTTTATTGGAACTTATTAAATAGCCAAATTGAAACCAATTTGTATACCTTCAGTAACCGAAAATATTTACATAAATTTTTTAATTGTGTTAAATATGTTATAAATATTTAAAAAAAAAATGTTATAAAAAATACATATTTTGATATTTAAATCGAAATAAACTCATTCAAGGAAATCTTTAAAATTAAAGGTTGTAAAGTTACAAACAATGGTAAAATCAATTTCTTCAGATTCTTCTTCTTAGTGTTTATGTCAACTGTTTTCAGATAAATCGATATATAATATTTAAATAATTTGTAAACAAATTTACCGTGTTTTGTTAATAAAATTTAAAAAGCCAGTAAATAAATACTTATTTAAAAATGTATAAAACTTTAATTAGGCAAAGGGAAAACCTTAAAATATACAATAACATAAGAAAATTTCTAACAATACAACTGTAATACAAGTTGAATTAGGCAGACAAGAAATGTATGTTATTCAATTTGTTGCACATTTTATTAAAATTACATACTTTTTAGTCGTTTAATAACTAAATAAACTTAAAATTAACCCTTAAGAACAAATAACCCAGAAAATCTAATCAACAGTCAATTGCTCATCCAATTGGATTTTCTCCCGCCAACTTTCAAGCCAAATATGAAAAAAGAAAATAGCTAAGTGTTGTAAAACTCGGCCATGCACCGTGTCGACCAGCTGGCTGCTACGAAACTCGGGCACTTTTGACAGCCGCTAAGCGCAAGGGTTGTCGAGATAATTTTCTTTTTACTTGAGCGAATTATAAAAATATTAAGCTGCCGATGAAAGAAGGCCATAAAACAATAGATTAATTATTAACAAAGCAAGCATATGTGTTAATTTTAATATAATCACTGATTTTAGCAGTGGAAAACTGAATTAAAAAACTTGAACATCAACCATAGTGACTCTGGCAACTCTGTCACTCTGACATTGCCGCTCACACGGACGCCACACAGCCGCATGTTGGTCACATACACGCGCACACACACTGACAAACGGCTACATTTTTTTTCGAGTGTGTTCGACATTCATAATTTTTGTGGTGAGGCTGCTTGCAAAAATTAAAAGTTTTAAGTATCCAACGAAATATTGGTCATAACTACTAATAAAAATCACCAATATCTTGGCGCTGTTTCGCTGTGAGTTCGTGTTTGCCCCAAAGTTTAAAATTATACAGAACATTCGTTGTTTTTGCCAAAAAAAGAGTCCAAGAAAAGAGCGACAAGCCCGAAAAAAACAACAACAAATTGCAGGAGGAGCAGAAGAAGAAGAAGAAGCGGACGAAATTTAATGTAAAATCGAAGAACAAGAACAAACGGAGAGATTATAAAGTAAAAAATTGATAAAACTAGCGCGATTGTGTTAGTGTGTGTTTGTGTGCGAAAAACCAGAATTGTGGTATTACTTCAAGTTTTTCGGTGTTTTTTTTTGTTTAATTAAATTCGCCGAAAACGCGGCGTTTTTCTTTTTTTATGCTCGCCCTCTTTGTCTTGCCCATTCGCATATTCTCTTTTTGCCTTTGTCTTTTTCGTGCGCGTTGTCTGCGTTTTGTCTGTGTGCGTGCGTGCGTGTCTCTGTGTGTGTGTGTGCGCAAAATTTCTGACAGCAAAAAAAAAGAAAATCTTATTAGGTGTTTTTTTATAGTTAAATTGACAACATTATTGATTTTTCAAGTGCGAGGAATACGATTTAACCCCCTCCTTACGCCCCATTTTCCGCTCTGCTTCTTCTACTTCTGCGGACTACGTGCTTTTGTCACACAAAAGGGAAATCAATAATTTTTAACACAACAAAAGCCGCACACTTGGAAAAAATTTATGATTAAGATATTATAATTCTCCGTTAAAACACGAAATTTCTTTTGTTTGCTATTGGGTTTTTTTTTTGGGTTTTATTGGTTTAATGAAATGTCTAGAAACTTCGACACTTTCGTTTTTGTGTTGTGTTGTTGTTTCTGATGGTTTTCTATATTTCCTGTTTTTTCTGTGTGTATAGGAAATGTAAACAGTTAACGGAGCCGCAAGGTCATGATAAATGGGGTGGGGTGGATATCTGGATGGGTTGCTTTAGCTTACACACAAAGAAAACGCCTGTGGAAATTTTACCAGTTTTATTGCAAAAGGTTATCTATTTCCGATCCCATAATTAACTTATGTTCAGTATATTCAAATTTACATACGTGTTACCAAAATTAGATTATCTACAGTCTTTTCAGGTATGCAATCATATTTACGTAAACAAAAATTACTATTATTGATTATTTTAACACGATTAGCATATCCAACTACGAAGCAAATGTAAATTTATATTTCTACAAATGAAAAAATTTGTAGATGGTACAAATAAATATGATAGTACAAAATAAGAAGACTAAATATAGTTAAAACAAAATAACTTTTTTAAGGTATCCTTTTAAATTGCCAATGTAGAAGTTAGCTAAGTTTTACTGTATCTGAGAGACATCTTTGTGGCATGCAAAATTCTGCAGCAAAACTTTCTTAAGGAAAGTGAAAGTCACAAATCCAACCGAAATCCAACTATCCAAACAAACACACACGACCTTGAGATACTAAAGGAAGAATTTTTTATTACTTTAAACTCAGTTTCCTTAGAAAAATATCAAATTAATTTAAAAAAGTTCTTGATTCAGCCAAGGCGATATACAAAGATATGATGCTTTAAAAATCTAATACAGCTAGTGGTTGTTAAAAACCTCGATTTACAATGGTGCTTTAAACCAGTTTAATTAGTTAACAAATAATCATGAAATTAGGCGTTTTCTGACTTCCACCTCTTGATTTTTCCATCTCGTTTGCAGCTTAACCCCAGTTCACCCGAAAAGGAAGTTGCCGCAGCTGAAAAATGTCGAGCCTGCCACGTCGCATCATCAAGGAGACGCAGCGCCTGATGCAGGAGCCCGTTCCGGGAATCAATGCCATTCCCGATGAGAACAATGCACGATACTTCCATGTGATCGTGACCGGACCGAACGATTCGCCCTTCGAGGGCGGCGTGTTTAAGCTGGAATTGTTCCTACCGGAGGATTATCCGATGTCGGCGCCCAAGGTGCGGTTCATCACGAAGATCTATCATCCGAACATCGATCGTTTGGGCCGCATCTGCTTGGACGTGCTGAAGGACAAGTGGAGTCCGGCGCTGCAGATCCGCACCATATTGCTATCGATCCAGGCCCTGCTCAGTGCACCCAATCCCGATGATCCTCTGGCCAACGATGTGGCCGAGTTGTGGAAGGTCAACGAGGCGGAGGCCATTCGCAATGCCCGCGAATGGACCCAGAAATATGCCGTCGAAGACTGAACGCCCGAGGTCAGGAGGAAAGTCAGGAAGCGGATACGGCAATTGTATCGGCGATTTTCCAGAAAGTGGGTGCGCGACATGGACGGGCGGGTGGGGAAAATGCATACTTTAAAAACAACCACAAAAACCTAAAGCATATGAAAGAAAGCAGAAAATAAGGAGAAAGAAAGTAAGAAAAAAAAGATTACAAAACGATAATGTTTTTTTTTCAAACCTTCTGGGGCGGGATATACATAATACATATATTTTTTTCAACCAATCGATCGGGGCGATCGGCAAAGGAGGAGAGATAGCGAAAGCATTCTTTATGTAAGTCATATACAATACATGTATCCCAAAAACAAAACAAAAAAAAAAACAACACACACACAGTAATTGGTTTAAATCACTTCGATTGATTTGTTCGAGGGGTCTGGTGTCTATATGCATATAGCCGTATATATTTGTATGTGTAACTGAAATAACCAACCCATAAACATTAACCCATGTAGCATCAGAAAATAAATCAATTGGAAAGGCAACTAGAAAAGGGTTTTGATTTTCTCTTAACGTTTCACTGAAAACTCTGGTTCGATTTCTATTTAAAATTGTATCATTTTCAATGTTTAAATAAATTACAGATGTGATCGTAAACTTTGTAGAATTTGTATTTTTCTTAATTAAGAGAGAGTTCACCATTTCGATTGATACTTGAGCTTTGCCTGGGTTGTGTAAGAGTCCCTTTGATAAACGAAAAATGGTTTTACTCGAAAACAATTTTTTTTAAACCAAACAAAAAAGCCTTTAAGCTATTAGTAATTTTTGAAAAAAAAAAATATAAATATAATACAAAAAAAATTAAAAAAAACAAATGCATACACTATATATTTATACAAAACATAAAAGTAGTGGCTTGATTGCGTGAACTTTTCAACAGCAGTTCTCAACAACAATTTGTGTACAGTAATTAACTTGTTTTCACCCAAAACCACTCAAGGAAAATCCGAAAAACAATAGCAGCAGAAAAGCAAGCATAAATCAAAGAATAAACATGAATAAAAAAATCCAGAAAATATTCAACTCAGTTTTTTTTTTCATTTAAATTAATTTTTTTTCTAAGAAAAAATAAATAAAAAAGATAAAAAAGAAAAACGAAATAAAAATTATAAAAAATTAAAAGTTGTGTTTTATTTTATTCGGATGTTGGAATGCAATTTTCTTGGGGTTTTAAATTTAATGGAAGGTTGGTTAATAATTTTTATTGGATCGAAAAATGTTAACCTTTCAATTGAACATTATTGAATTAATTATTTTCCGGTTTGTTTTCGTGTGCACAATTTGTTTTAAATATTAAATTAAATATAAAATGAGACCTTGATTATTTATTTAAATGTATTATTATCTCTTACTTGGAGCCAATTTGATATAATAATTATTCGATAAAGCAATCGTAGATCAAGTTAAATAACCATTAATATTTAAAAACATATTCTAGATAAAGTTTTTTGGCGCAATTTGCCATAGAAATCCGATTATAACAGAATATTGTGTTTGCTTGTCGTGGACTGCAGTTGTCAATCATTTCGTTTAACTTGGGGCCTCGGGATTGGCAGGCCTCCCACTAAGTCCGGCTTAACCCTTCGCCGCCCGCTGTCCACTGGGAGGCCCCTATGGGTCCGGCAATGGGAAAAATGCCGTTCAGCTCTTCTCTATTTTTCATGGTTTTATCCTGTGAGTGAGTGTGTGCTGCTGGCCACTCCCCCCGAAAAAAGCGAACCAGGACCTTTTTCCCGCCTCTGATTGGGTGCTCTTCGCTCGCATATATACGTATATATCTGGTTCTGGCGATTTCGAGGCCCCTGACCAACAACACAGGGCAGTCAAATGTCGAACCTAAAGGAATTTTTTCCCTCTGGTTTTTATTATTTCTTTTTTTTTTTTATTATTATTTTTTTTATATTTTTTTTTATGCTGCCGGTGTTGTGTTCTCCGTTTTTTAGTCTGTGTCGATTTTGTTTTTCCGGTAAATGGGTGGCAGTGGGTGGTTTTCCACTGGTTGGAGGAAAACGCATATGCAAAATGCGATGTTCGAGTGTCTGTGTGCTCGAGGATTTTTATCGGCAGCTTCATTGTGTGTTGTGGGCCAGACAAAAAGAGTGAAAAGGGTGGTGAAAGGGGGAAATAACTGGATGTGTGGGCTGGTGGTCAGGCCATAACTATGGCTATTAATCGTTACAAGTGGCCAAGCTCTCCACCTATTTGCCAACTATCAACTGTCTCTTTCTCACTGCCATTTTTGTCTCTTTTTAAACACCTCTCCCAAGAGGCATTCATCGTCACCTAAAAAAAATAGTTTTAAAAAAATAAAAAATGCTTACATAAAATGGAGTTTCAGTTTAGTTTTTATATTTACAAAATTTGAAATATTGAACCTTATTGAACTTCGGATTTTACATTTTAACTTCAAGGAACTCCCAAAGGAATTTCAAAAAATTGTTCTTAGATATTATCTTAAAACACCATTCAAAAATATTTTTGTATTAATTTTTAGTTTATTAAGATATATCTATTTAAAGTATTTCCTTCTGAAAGAAAGTTTTTACACCTATTGCTTCAGGATTATTTAATATTAGGATTCTTTTTTTATACCCTTGCAGAGGGTATTATAATTTTGGTCAGAAGTTTGTAACGCAGTGAAGGAGACGTTTCCGACCCCATAAAGTATATATATTCTTGATCAGGATCAATAGGGGAGTCGATATAGCCATGTCCGTCTGTCCGTCTGTCCGTCTGTCCGTCTGTTTCAATACCGTTTGCGAGCTCAGTTTAAATGCTAGCGATCTGAAACTTTCACAATCGTCCTAAAACATGTGTACGCAGATCAAGTTTGAAAATCGCCCCGATCGGACGTCTATATCCTATAGCTCCCATAGGAACAATTGGATATATCTTGCAAGAATTTATGATATTTCGCGCAGTGTAAAAGCTATTGACATTAATCTTTACAAATCGTATTTTTTTATGCATACCTTGATCAGGGTAAAAGCGCGTGGCGATCGGACGTCTATATCCTATAGCTCCCATAGGAACAATAGGGTAAAATCGGTTAAAATTTAATGATTTTTAGGATATTTCCCGCAGTGTAAAATCTATTGACATAAATCTTTCCAAATCTTATTTTTTTATGCGTACCTTGATCAGGGTAAAAGCGCGTGACGATCGGACGTCTATATCCTATAGCTCCCATAGGAACAATAGGGTAAAATCGGTCCAAATTTGATGTTTTTCAGAATATTTCGCGATGTGTAAAAGCTATTGCTGTACATTTTCTCAAATCGTATTTTTTTATGCATTCGTTCATCAAGGTAAAAGCGCGTGCTGATCGGACGTCTATATCCTATAGCTCCCATAGGAACAATACGGTGAAATCGGTCAAAATTTCATGTTTTTTAGAATATTTCGCGCAGTGTATAAGCTATTGACATACGTCTATATCCTATAGCTCCCATAAGAACAATAGGGTGAAATCGGTCCAAATTTGATGATTATCAGAATATTTCGCGCAGTGTGTAAGCTACTAACATAAAATTTTCCAATTCTTATTTATTTACGCATATCTTGATTAGGGTAAAAGCGCTTGCCGCTCGGAAGTCTATATCTTAAAGGAGATAGTAAAAATTGTTAAAGGCTGCGAAAGTATCCCTTTTGTATATGACATTTTTGCAGTATAAAAGCAATTGACTTGAAACGATGCAAATCTAGTTTACTTATGTATACCTTATTCCTTTTTCACTTTTAGCAATTTCGTCAAAGTCTGCAAGGGTATTAAAACTTCGGCTTGCCGAAGTTAGCTTCCGTCCTCGTTTTATTTATTCTTTCTTGGTTCGATAAATGGAGTTAAAGTCATGTGCTATTCATTAAATTGTAATGCATTTACTAGAAACTAATTTATATACTTAGTAGCTCGAGCGGTTAACACTTACTATAACAGAAGAGATTTCCTTTGATCTGTATAATATACCCTAAATCTGATCTGTATAATATACCTTGAAAGTGTGGAACAACTTTGTAACGGCTACTATACCAGGATTATTAACCCAATTACCAACTCCTGAAAATTTTTTTAATTTGGTATGGTACAGTGTTGTGCGATTTTAGTCGAATTTGTTCGTGGTACAGTCCACCCAAGAGGACCTTTAAGTGCACCTCGTGCAGCTCGCCTTCTCGCTCGCACACCGAATGCGCCATTTTTGTTTGAAAGCTAATCGAAAAAGGGCGTACAGCCTAGCTCCGAAAAATACCCGCACACACACGTCGTATACGTAATGTAATGCAATGTCCGGAAGTACAGTCAACAACCAAAAAGGACCAAAGCACACACACATAAACAAACACACACACAGAGCAAGCGAGAGAGATAGAGAGGGCTAGTGGGAGTGAGAGGGAACTGCCACTCGCATCGCATTCAGCAAAACATCATCAAAATTGTAAAAATAAACAAAAGCCAACATGCATAAAACCAATTTCCATTAAGGCCAACACACACGACGCACACACGCACATGCAACGCTGTGTGTGCACTACTGCCATCCCACTCGGACACGCTATCCCTCTCTCTTTCTGCTTCCCATTTTGGCCTGTCCATTGCAGCATTGAACAAAGTTTCGGGCTTAGATGGTGTTTTTTCCATCCTTTTTTTTTTACTTTTGAGGTTGGAGGAGGGTGTTGCTGGACTTTGGTCTCTGAGTCTGCCTATGGCCACCGAAAAATCCTCAAAAATAAAGGACGACGAAGGAACGGAGGGCTTGTGAGTGAGCTGTATCCTTAATTGATATCGCAGCAAGGAATTTCTCTGCCACCCACTCAGGAATAAAAGGGAAAAATACAAAAAGGAAAGACCCGGCTTTGGACAGGATGAGCTCTGTGCGCCATGTCCAGTGATGGAAAGTATCTAGTTAGTTGTACCTAAGGGCAGATGAAGTACCCATTACTAAGTTCTTAGACTTCTTTTCTTTGATTTAGCTAATAAACTTTTTCTTATATTAAGTATTACTTTTTGTATCTTAAAACATATACATATAAATGATAAGGATCATCAATTTTAACAAATTGTTACTCTAGGTGGAAACTTTTCTAATTAAGTTTTCTTTTCAATTCTGAAGATAAAACTATTTTCCAATTCTTAATTTAAGAACAGTTGATTTAAACAAAATAATTAATGATCATCTACTGCAGAAAACTTTTCCAACATAGAGAATATTTTACCTTTTTCTTGTACAATTTTTCAAGTACGTAAACTGGATCAAGTCACAAAAGTGTCAATAATCATTATTATAATTTCATTTGGTTTGTATTTTACAAAGGTCCAAGAATTGTTACCTTTCCCATCACTGGCTATATCTATCTCTTTGGGTTATTCGTCAAGGGTATAGAGGGGTATGGGGGGGATGGGCTGGGGACTTAAACACACACGCATGCAATGGGTAGGATTGGGTGGATTTTTTGGGGGCTTGGGTGGCATTGCAAACGCAACGAGGATACTGCATGCGATAGGTCGGAAATTTTCTGCCGAGCTCGCAATCAACTCTTTGGACTAGGACTAGGAGATATATCCCCACAAACCAGCACTACCCCCCACCCCCCTCCCCCTGCCC